TTTACCCTTCTAAGGTAGGACCTGACCTTTGAGACTTCCTATATTCCCCTCCTAAGTTGGAGTGTGAATGAGAAGGAGTTGAAAGGCATTGGAGTTGAGAGATAGGGTTTGAATAGGCTTGGTCTTTGACACAAGTGTGAGCCATTAAAGAGATAGTCCCAGGCAGTCACAAAGCCACATTTTCTGAAGGCTGAAGAACTATCACTGTAACAACTTCTAAAGGAGAACATAAGTAGCGTTTAGCTGAGCGGACTCCTTTGATTTCTTATTCTGTCAGATCCTAGAGACACTTTCTCAGGTTGGTGGAGTTTGAGATTTTCTGTTTTTATGGATGCTGGGTGATTTGTGACTAAACATAGATAAGGCTTTTGAAAAAAAATGAGAGATGAACAAAGTCTATGAAAAGACCAACATTTTTAAAAGGAAGAGAGAAGCCCTTTACTGGTTTGCTTTTTTCCTGTGCTTCTTGCTGGGTTGATATTTTCTCTGGGGTGGTAAACAATAGCAATAGTGATAAATATCTTGCATTTCTTTAGAGAATATGTCCTCTACCATTGAATGAAAGTTGGGTGATTTTGGTTAAAGAGTTACCAACACGTTTTTGTTACTTTATAGAAAACAATAGTCATTCAACTTTCCTTTTCATTTTTCTTTGTAATGACTTCAAAACCCCTCCATTGCTAATTCTTGTAGGGTTGAGATAAAGTAATTGAAAAAGCATCTTATACAGTATGGCTTATTCTTTTTCAATAAGCAGACAAATTACCATGACTTCCTGTAAGCCTGAACTTTATATTTCTTTTATACTCTTTGCTTAACCTCAGTGGCTGAACATAGACCACGGAGAGTCTGGAATCTCTAATATTAGGGCCTTTGATGAAATCCTCATAAATAAAATGTGAATCGTATTTGTGTGTGCATGTATTTGTGTTTTCTGTGGCAGCAAGGAACAAACCATTTATGCAGAAGAACATATGAAGAAAGGGAATGAACATGTATGTGCATTTATTATCTGCCAGTTTCAATGTTTGGTATTATTACCCACATTTTATAGATAAGACAATAGAACTGGGCCAAAATCACATCGCTTGTAAGTGGCAATTTTCAGAGTTAAACCAGGTTAGTTGAACTGGAGATCTTGCCTGTTTTTGATACCACATGACCCCCAATCTTATTCACTAACTACATTGTGGGAATATCATAGTCAGTGGTTGTTTCTCACCTCTTGCCTAATAGCCAGAGAGTTCTTCTTTTAGTGAATCCATTGGAGAAGCAGGTTTGAGATGGGAATCTGGTATCAATTTACCCTGACATATCCCTATCACATTGCATTTTTCCCTAGAATACAGACCTATTATTGTGCCCTTAGACACGGACATGAGAGAAAAGAGCCCTGCTTGAGTGAATGCGGTGAAGCTCTGTCAGAGTGAGGAGATAGGCTCTGGAGCTTCGCCTCTGGAGAAGAACTGTCTCTGGAGAAATGAAGAACTGGATGTCTCCTGATCCCTTGCATCTGGCAGTTGTTGTTAGTTGCCATTGTTAAGTAGGCTTCAACTCATGGTGATGTTCTGTATGACAGAACAAAACATGCCTGGTCCTGGGCCGTCTTCATAATTATTGATACATTGTGCTCATTGTTGAAGCTGTTGTAAAGTGTTATCCTCCTAGGGGGCTTATCTTCCAGTACTTTATTGCACAGTATTCTGTTGTGATCCATAAAATTTTCATTAGCTAATTTTTGGAAGTACATCACCAGCCTTATTGCTCTAGTCTATCCTAGTCTGAAAACTCCACTGAAACTTGTCCACTGTGGGTGACCCTGCTGGTATTTGAAAAACAATGGCATAGCTTCCAACATCATAGCAACATACAAGCCACCACAGTATGACAAACAGACAGACAGGTGGTGAGTTTGGGAATTACAAATTTATTATTGTCCATATTCACCCAACATAAGCAGGACCTGTAGTCTGTACCTCAAACTGTTGTCCAGCCTACTGAATAATGTTCAAGCCTTGGAAAGTCAAGTGAAAAAGAAGTGTAGTAGTTAGGTTAAGAGAACAATTATGTTGCAACAAATCACAAAGAATTTTCTAAATCATTTTCTACAATAGGGTTTTCAAAAAATTAACGATGCTCAGTCTTCAAGCTCTTTGTAATGATGACATTCATTGTGATGGAGTTTGATCAATATTAGAATTCTTAGAAATTCATTTTCTGATTATCTGTTACTTATTTCGATGCTACTCTAGTTTTTGTATGGCCATATGCTTATTTTTATTGCCGATTTTTTTCTTTTAAGCAATCACAAAGCTGAGACATTTTTCCTCAAATCTGAAATGTGACAGAAGATACAAGAATGTTCTTAGTTTTGTTTATTGCTCCAGAAGTTAATAAGACTGCTGGTATTTGTGTGAATGCTGTAAGGTTGTATTAATACTGTGGGTTTGAGAAATGCTGTAATAACCTGCAAAAGGACATTCTGTCTGAAATAATTCTCTAGGAATGAATGTACTGTTGTAATAGTTGTTTTGGTTTTTGCAAGCTTTGTACAAATTCCACTATGTTTTCCCTTTTTATTTGTTTGCAAGTATGTGTGTGCACGTGTGGGTGTGTGTCTATTAGTGTGTTTCATGTCGTTTGATACCATTCAATTGGTTTCAGCTTACTCATAGTGACCCCATGTGACAGAGTGAAACTGCCCCACAGGGTTTTCTAGGCTGTAATCTCTACAGGAGCAGATGCCAGGTCTTTCTCCTGTAGAGCCCCTAGTTGAGTTCAAACTGCCAGCTTTTCTGTTAACTATTGCACCACCAGGACTCTTTTTAAAATAAATTATCCATCACCTAATAGACAAGTAGCTTCAACAGATTTTTACAAAGAACTTGTGAATAGATAATAAAGGAACACTCAAAGAGGAGCAAAGGAAAATGGCCATGCTGGCACCCATCCTGCTTGTTCAAAGCACACAGACAGTTCCATCAGGGGGGACACAACTCTAGTCAGGTATCATTACCAAGAAGCCTATCTGAAGTATGGATTTACATCCACTGTCATTAATGATTGACTTCTCCCAAAGTGCACATGATGCCTTGAAAGATTAGTTAATGTCATTCTGATCAGCAGGACAGACTAGCAATTAAAGAAACAGTAGAGTGTAGCTCAGGGGTTTGGCACCCAGATGCTGGAGGCAGGCTACTGGGTTTGAATCCCAGTTCTGCTGCTTATCAGTGATGTAACTCAATTTCTTCTCTGTAAAATGAAGATTGAATAGTACTTACTTTGAAGGTCTGTTGTGAGGATTAAATGAGTTAATATGTGTAAAGTATTTAGAAGAGTTCTTGGCACATAAATGTATGTAATACAAGTGTTAGTTTGAAAATAAAATTTACCCCACTTTATGCCAACTTGTAAAGATTTCATATGGGTATTTTATATTATTATTATTATTTGTAAATAAATTTATGAAATTGGGGTTACACCCTCAAGTATTGTGACAGAAGTAAGCAAATAAAATATCTGTAGGCTACTTCCCAGTAGACCCAGCTCCTGAAAAATTCCCAGGTTTCTGGAAGCATAAGCAACCATTGACATCATCCTTCACACTATGCTGTTGGATTTTGGGAACTGGGCATAAAAGCAAAATAATGTCACCTTTTATCATCTTCTCTACACTCAGTTTCTGTGTATTAAACACTGTGACTTAAATGTCATTATGTTTCTTAACCAGTTATAAACTAAAGCAAAGTATTTCTAATTCAGTTTATGTAACAGCATGGCTGCATATGTAAAAAAGTGCTCCTTAGTTAAATATAGTGGGGTGGTATTAGATCATTTTTAATAGCTACACCTTCATCTCAATGGCAAGAGGTCAAATAGGTACAACTAGATTACTATATCAACAAAACTGAAAATTTGAAAGTCATCTCTGTTTATTTGAAATAATATCTTCACACCTTTGTATATTCATACTCTATCCTACTAATTAACAAAGGAAGGCCTACTTTCACACAGGGCCATCCAGTAGTTTGTAATGTGAAATATAACAAATTGAGCTTCTATGTGTTAGGCTTATTTGATTTGAAGTGGAATCCAGCTCCACAGCCATTATTTTTTTGGTTGGTAATTCAAAATCCACCAGGCCCGTCTATTTGATTTTGACTTGTGGCAATCCTGTGTACATCAGAATAGAACTATTCTCCCCAGAATTGTCAGTAATTCAGAGAGCTCTTCTTTTAGTTCTTGAGTGTTATATACCATTACATGCTTGGCTGCTAAATGAAAAGTTGGACACTTGAGTTCACTTCATTGAGGCACCTTGGAAGAAAAGCCTGGCGATTTACCTCTGAAAAATCAGACATTGAAAAGCCTGTGAAATATGTTTCTACTGTGACACACATGGGGCCATCAAGAGTTAAAATTGACTCAACAGCAACTGGTTCCGAGCAGAATGCAGGGGCTCAGTTGTAGAATTCTCACCTTCCACATGGAAGACCCAAGTTTGATTCCTGGCCAGTATACCTCATGCACAGCCACCACCTGTCTGTCAGTGGGGACTTATGTGTTTCTGTGATGTTGGATCGGTTTCAGTAGAACTTTCAGAGCAAGATAGAGTAGGAAGAAAGGCCTGGTAATCGACATCTGGAAATCAGCCAAGGAATCCTTTATGGATCACAAAACTCCAATCTACAACCAGTCATGGGGATGTCACAGGAAGAGGCAGCACTTTGTTTTATTGTGCATGGACTCACCGTGACTCAGGGGCCAACTTGGATATTAACAACAACAACAACAACATTAATTCAAAGCCTTTGTTGTTTAACAACATTAATACAAAGTCTTTGTCTGGCATTAATTCAGTAACAGCATTAATTCAAAGCCAGTAGACTTTGAATTGGTCCCAGAAAGAGAGATTATTACACATTTTTAATGTCATGTTTTAAGTTTTCTTTTGAATTTTACATTTTCCTCACTTCTTTAAATCAATCAAACCCAAACAGGTATTCCTGGAGGACCTCTGAATGGAGAGAATGCCAAGTCTCTCTCCTCCTTGAGCAGCAGGACCCCCACTGGCATGCGACGGGATCTGTCTGTGGTGGTGGCATCCAGACCCGGGAGGTGTACTGTGCCCAGAGCATACCAGCCTCCTCTGCACAGAGGGCCAAAGAAGGTAGGCAGCCAGTTCTGGGACAGATGGTGCTGCTGGTTTCAAGGGAAATCACCTCCCACATCATCCTCCAATATTTATTCATTTATTAATGACAAACCCTCAGGAATGTTTTTGTTTTGTCCACTGCTTGCACAATACTCCTAAATTTTGCTAGTAGCAGTAACTTGGAATAGTTAAACTAGTATTAACAATAATAATACTTGCCTTAAAGGGTATTTAAGGATCTCTGATGATGCAAAAGTTAAATGCTCAGCTACTAACCTAAAGGTTGGAGGTACAAACCCATCAGCTGCTCCACAGGAAAAATATAGAGCACTTCGCTTCTGCAAAGATTACAGACTTGGAAACCTTATGGGGCAATTCTACTCCATTCTATAGGTCAACTACACATCTTAATCGACTGGAGGACACCTCTTTGTGGAAGTTTAATGCAAAAATATACCTCAGTTTTGTAGCACGAATTGAATACTACAAGTTAAGGGGCTAGTAAGCTGGAGTAACTCAGTAAAGAGTGAATAAATAGCATTATTTTTTTTATTTTTTCAAAGTATTTTTTTTTGTATGTGTGTTAATTTGTGCATGTGACAATTTCTACAATATCAAATGTCAAGAGTCTGTCATTTTATTTCCAAATGTTATTTAAGAACAAGAAACTTTCTCCATGTTAAGGTCTCCATTAGGCAAGTACCACCCAGAACTATTCCATTTGTTTCAGGATGTGGGAAAGTGGTAACATATAGAGAGTGAAAAACTTACCCAGATTTATGTAAGTCAATTGTTTGAAAAGCCAAGACTGAACACCACTTCCACTCTAGAGGAATATGTGGTCTCTTCCAGCCATATTAGAGAACCCAGAAAAAAACCCTGCAGAAGGAACAGAGAAAACAAACCTACTGCCATCGAGTCAATTCTGACTCATAGCGGCCATATAGAACATAGTAGAACAGCCCTATAGGGTTTCTGAGGCTATAAATCTTTACAGAAGCAGACTGCTACTTTTTTTCTCCCATGGAATTGCTGATGGGTTTGAACCATTGACCTTTTGGTTACCAGCCAAATGCTTTAGCCACTGCACTACCACACCTCCTTCCTGCAGAAATAATTAAGGTGGAAATGCTTCCTTGGGTCTGCCAACTATACGTTCTCTGCTGTGGGCTTTGATAAAGAGGGAATGCTGCAAACTCTTGCAATATTATGCCTTCATTTTATTCTGTGAAAGTCTTCATACCAGGTACCTTTTTTGTGACATGGCCTCTCAGACTTCCAGAGACATCTGTGATGATAGCCTTAGATGATAAATCTTTTGATTAAAAGTCAAAACTTTACAGACTCCTTAGCATTTTGCTTCCACAAATGAAGTCAGAAGGCTACATTTACAAAGCTAGAGATATTTTAAGTAACAATAGCTTTTCTTTGTTCTCTGTTTTTGCCTTTGGAAAATGACAGTTTGCACACTTTCTGCTCTAGGACAGAAAATGACTATGCTTACTCTTCTGAATTAGGAGGAACAGAATTTAGATCAAAAGCTTTAGACTATTTTTTTCAAACATTGGTGATCTTCCCTTCTTTGTCTTCCCTTCTACTACTTTCTGTAGTAAGCATCTTCTGGAATCAACACATAAATCAAAATTTTGTAGAATTGATATTTTAATACCTACCTATTTTCAGCTTCAATGTTTAATGTTCTGTTGATATTTTCATCTTCCTAAAGTTTCTTTGATAAAAATAACTTTTCTTATGGATAACTTTGTTCTAAAATTTTATCAGCTTTTAAGCTTTTCTAGCTTTCTGAATGGGAACATACAGAGGCAGGAAGGTGGAAGTTAGAAAGTTGGAAGGATGGTGTTTTAGAGTTGGGGATTCAATGTTACATTGGGAGATGGGTTGAAATAGAGGAGGACTATTAAATGCAGATTCATTTGTTATACCACTCAGCCCTGATAATGATCATCTTTAAGCATCCAAAGAAGATAAAACATGCTTAGATCAAGACACCCTTCCACATTAATACCTGAGTTCTCATGGAAACAGAAAAGTACTTAGAAAGCACTAAGCCTGGCAGCCCAGTTCTCAGGGAGGGCCTACATATGAGGCCAAGATGTAAACACATAGAAGGGTAATACTACACTGTACTTTTGTATCTAACTAAATACAGTGATTAAAATTATGTTGCCTAGTATAGCACAGTCACAGTTGCAGTAAAGCACAGTATAACTTGCTACTTTCCTTTGTAGTCATCATCAAAGGCTTTATTTTGTTCTTGTATGCAAGTGATCTAGCAGGTTTGTTCAATCATTACTTTCATTTTTTTTTAATAAATGCTTTAATTTTATTGTTTTTTTAGATATATTTTTATATTTTTTTTTATTGTGATTTGGGTAAAACTTTACAGAGCAAACTCACTTTCCGTACAGCAGTTCACATACACTTTGTCTCATGACATTCACTACAATTTACCACAATGCAACAGCTCCCCGCCCACTTCCTCCCAATAGTCACTTCTTCCCTGTGTCCATCCCTCCATGCACTCCTTCCCCCTGATCTGTCTTCTTGTGCATAAACAGCCCTTAAGGAACCAATGAGTAAGCAACTAAGGAGGCAGAATATAAATATTCCTAGCCATTTCTGTTAATTCAGTAATAAAGACCACAACTAGTGACATTTATTGCATTTCAGTTTCTGTGAACATCAGCTTCTTTTATTTTTATTATAGATATGTTAGATTTTGGTGGGAGAAGGCTTTTTAATAGCATTGAATTTGGAGACTTCTTTGTCAGTCACAATGCTCTTGACTTTTCCCTACAATGTTAATTTTTTCATGGACTCAAGGATACTTTAGCCACCCTCTAGAGTGGAATTGCTTGACTTTTCTTTCCTACAAAAATCCTACTATCCACTGAGAGTTACCTGCTTTGTATCCCAAGAACCTGATGTTAGAGGAACCCACAATCATGGAAAAGAAGCAAAGGTGTTTCCATGAATCCCTTATGTAATTGAATGCAATAGACACTCTAGACTCCAGAACGAAAGACTAAGAATGCTATTTATCTTTCAAGGGCCCTAAGGCTTATGACCAAGGCTGGATGCTGAGCCTAAAACCTGACTTGGATGCATTTCTGTTATTGACTTATTCTTGTGGATGTCCCATTCCCATCAACTTCAATTTATGGTGACTGGAGGAATAGTATAAGGAGCTTTGGTGGTGTAGTGGTTAAGGTATTAAGCTACTAATCAAAAGATCAGTGGTTCAAACCCACTCATCGCTCTGTGGAAGAGAGATGGGGTCATCTGCTTCCATAAAGATTTGCAACCTTGGAAACCCAATGGGGGTTGCCATGAGTTGGAATTGTCTCGATGGCAGTGAGTTTGGTTTTTTTCCTTTTGGTTTGGAGGAATAGTATACACCCATGGAATATTTACCTGATTTGCTTTTGTGCAGTATTCCTGTGATGTATTAAATAGTGTATACAAAAATTGAAAATATAGAGGAGTACTTATGATTTTTTTAAGGGTTATTGTTTTACAGAGAAATGGGTTTATTTTTCAACAAAGAAGCCGAGATAATGGAACAAAACATCATTTGCTATTTAACAGCAGGATATTTGGCAGTAGTTCATACAAGGCCAAGAGAAACAAGGTGTCCAGTAATATTTCAGAAATATCAGCAAGAATGATGTTTCCTGAAATCTATAATCTGGATTTGGTAAGGGCAAATTTACCCTAGGCATGTCAGTGTGGCCAGATACTGAAATATCAATAAATAAGAGTGAATGGCATAGAGATTAAATGCATTTAGATAGAGAAGCAAAATAAAGCTAAATTTAAAAATCATCAAGAGGTGTTGGTGAACTTATAATTTAGCAAAAGAGTACCTGGCTTTTTTTTTTTTCCACCCCATATTTCAAATTTATGCTTTAGCCTCACATAGACAACAACTATTTTAAGAATAGGACAGGGTTTGGTTTTGCATTGCTTACTGTATTATGTACCCATCCCTCCTATCCAAGTGAGATTGGATATTTCTTGAAAGAACTATGTCTTTATCATGCTGGGTCTAGATTTGCATTAAGAGGGTGCATTATCAGAAAAGATAATATTTCCTGGAATGCTAAGTAGTATATGGGGACTTGATATGTTTTGCATTATAATTATGTCCTGTATGGAAGTTTGATAAGCCACATGAATGTCATACAACCTTCTAGCTCTCTCTCTGTGTATAGATACAGATAAAGATACAGATACAGATACAAATACAGATACAAATACAGATATAGATATAGATAGATTTGGTAAGTGAAAGTGGATGACAAACACTCATTTTTTTTTTTTTTTCCACAGATAATTTATTATGAGCCATCTAAGTTTTTGGCTATGTATGAGGCATCCATGTTATAAAAGTTACCCAACTCCCCAGTAATTTATAGTCTTTACATTGGAATAGCAATTGAGCTAACACTTACTCTATAGTGTCATAATTCCTGTGATTGTTACATATTCAGCATGTTAAAACCACTTAATGATGCCTCAACATAATCTTCAGAGCAGAGATAATGCTGGAAGGGAATTTTTGGAGACTCAGTATAAAAGATGTTCTTAGCAAGAGGAAGAACATGTAGAAAGGAACAGGGGTGGGAATGTCATGATATGCTCAGTGAAGGCACATAAAGTGATGTGAGGAGAACATAAGGAACAAGGAAGTTTAGGTGGCAGTGGAGAAAAGCCTTTCCGCCATTCTGAAGTTAAGTCCTTATTTTTGAGACAATTGGTGCTTATTGCAGACTTATATACCCCCACTGCCAGCTTTTAAACAGAGAAAGAATCTTATATTTTTAGCTGTACTTAAAATTGTGAAAAGATCAGTACACTAAGAGAATTTTCGTGACCACTCATCTCCTGTTTGCAAACTTATCTGAGTGTCCAAGAAGTCTTGGAGAAAAGAAGTAACGTAATTCACAATTTGAACAGATGAAGAGAGTTCTTAAGGAGCAATTAGAGGGGAT